TCCGGCCAAAAGACAGTCCGGACTCAGCATCGAGTGAAGCCTCGGCATTCCATCCGAAACATTATTTTCATGCTCATGTTGAAAAAGAAATTCTATAAGAGGCCAGATTCAATTTAACCGAGACGAAGATTCGCGGCAGACCGGCGACGGCGAAGCATGCCATTTGTGACATGTATTCAAGAAGCATCACGAAAGCCGTCCCAGGCGAGAGACGTGCGCCATTCCACGGTTCCGCCCCAAATCCCCTCTGGATTTTCTCTATTTCAATACTCGATTTTTTTTTACATTCCATAAATAAATATTTACGATCCAGCTCCACGCAGAATATTAACTTATTTTATGATTCTTCACATTGATCAACGCGATCGAAATGCCACATAAAAGTGGTTTAGTGTCGATTAAAGCTTCCGTTTGTTTCTGCAGGATAAGCTACCCCAACAAAAAGCAATATATATTTTTATTTCGAAATTCCTTCAATAAAAATACTTGATTTATATCAAATCTAATTTTTATTTTAATATTTCAAGCATAAGCGGGTAAATACATTTTCATCGAATCTTTTAATGAATAGTGTGATGTCAAAAGGGTAAGCAGACTTCAATGAAATCAATCGCCTTCCACTCTGTCTCATCAGTGAGTTTGTGAGCCCGTATGTCATGTTTCCCACGCATATCTTTTGTAGATTTTCCATGGATAGATGGATTCCCTCATATATCTGACTCGACGGCCGGTGATCCCGTGAACGAAATAAAAGCCTTAAGGCAAACTGGAATATCGCGAATATTTCCATTCTCAATAATCCGGACTCGATAACTGAATGAAGCCTTCGTGCCTAGTTTTCTTTTTTCCGTGGACGCCGACGCTTGACAGAGAGAACGGTGATGATGCCAGCAAGGCAAGAATTTTGGTCATTGGTGTTTCCCAATTCATTGAATTCACTTATAATTCGACAGTGTTGTTCATGAATTACAATAAAAGAAAGAAACTAGTATTAAACTTGGAGATAATAGGGTTATAATGTTACCCAAACATACATACATATGTGATACATCACATCAAAAGTAGACGGGTTGACTGAAGCCGTTTTTCCAAAGGCGCGCCCGCACGGACTCATGCCGTTTTTATCTAGAGTAATCAATCTGCTAACGCTTCCTATGGACTCAAGCCCATAAGGGAAATAATATAGGTCACTCAAAAACTCTACATTTATTGAGTAAGGTCAATAACCAACTACTAAGCGTTAGCGATAAAAAGGTAAAAACACCTTTAGGGAAAAAGCAATTTCAGGTAGTTACTCCCTGTGATTACAACTATAGTGCGGATGACGACCATCGTAGCCTAGACTGCTTCACCGATGGCTCACTCATTAAGGACAAGGGAAGCGGTGCTGGAATACATATACCTAAATTGGGGATCAGCATCTTCTCCCCTCTTGGTAATAACACATCAGTCTTTCAGGCGGAGGTCTGTGCCATCAATGTTTGCTGGAGAACACTCATGGAGAACAAGATCAAGGGAAAAGATATTAGAATTTTTTTCGACAGTCAGGCCAGTCTTAAGTCACTACAAAAAGAGTTATCAACATTTAGGCTGGTAGAGGAAACCGTTGAACTTATTAATAGGATTACTACCAGGTACGAGAATAGGGTAACCGTCATATGGATACCAGCTCATAAGGGGCACTATGGCAATGAAAAGGCGGACAGCCTGGCCAAAGAAGGCTCAAATACCGCGTTTGTCGGGCCACAACCGGTATTACCCCACGCTATTATCACAGCGAAAGAGAGTATTAATTGCTGGAGGATGAAAGAATGGAATCTGTCCCCCGGACATAGGCAATCGAAAGAGTTTCTGAAAGAAATCAAACCAAAATAAGCGAAATGGTTATTCTCTAACTCAAGGAGGGGAATTAGGAGGCTGATAGTTATCCTAACAGGCCATTGCTCCTTGAGAAGACACCTCTTCATAATGGGTATCCTACCGGACCCCTTTTGCCGCTTCTGTGAAATAAAAGAAGAAACGGCTCGACACTACCTCGTAGAATGTGATAGGTATGCCAGGGATAGATTTGAAGCTTTTGAAGGAGAGGACATTGACAAATCACTCCCCAAGATAAAATGGTCCAAAATCTTGGGGTTTGTAAACAGGTCCAAGAGGTTTATGCAGGACTCGTGAGCCGACCAAGTCCCGGACCTTTTAGGGATGGGGTACGGGCCTACCTAGGCTTTTAACCCCTCGGGTATCGGTCGCTCACCCTGCATAATTTTTTTTATCAATTAAACTATCTTGTAGTACACTAAAAATGCTATTAGATGACATATCAAGCTCGTTAAGTTGGGGCATCGTTGGCCGCAGCGGTTTAAGCGTTGATCATAACTGTAACGTAACGATCCTAGGTTCGAATACAGGGCTGCTGGATATACTTATAAATGGCATTTTTTCAAAACATCGTCACCCTGAGGGTTCATATAGCCTCGTAGTTGAAATAACCTTGCAAAAAAAAGGAGTATTTTTCTTCAAAGTTTTGTCAAAAATATATGTGTACAAATCTCTTTGGTTTTAAAATTAAATGTTTCATTCATAAAATTGTAATATTAATATGTTCTAGTAATCGTATTCGAGTAAACATGCTTAGGAACAAGTTCATAAAAAGCTATTTTTCAATGTTCTAAGCGTATATTTTTTTAAAGTTTTGCCCTTTTCAAATTAAACGACAATGGCCAAAACGCAATTAACCCAGCATTGGAAGTATTTTCCCGTGTCGCTTTGAAATGGAAACCAAAGGCGTTGCCGATCTGTTTAAATTAAACCGACCCTTTTACTAATGACAAATGAAACACAATTTGTACACGGAAAAAGGTCCAAAATGAGCCTTATTATTCATAAATGTACGTCATGACTATAATTTGTCTTTTGACAAAATCGCTAAAACCAGTTTTAAATATATTTGTACAAAAAAGTTCAATTTGAAAACAACTCTTAACATGCTCAACTTTAATCATATATAACAAATGAACTTTCCCTAGATAAAATGAACGATGACAATTTAGTAAAAATAAGTTAAACATCATGCGTTACTATTTGGAGATCGTGAGATGCGGCCTGGTGTGATGTAGTTTAGAAAAACATTTTCTTTATCGTGCCAACGTTTCGATCTTTATTGAGATCATCATCAGGGCTCAAAGTGTTTGTTTTCCGTGTAGATGTGTCATTCTTGTGTGTCGTGTTGAAAGATTTGTTCACTAAGGGGAGGTGAAGGAAGTAGGGATAGAAAAACATTTTTTTATGAGGAGTCGGCTTTTTGAGGTGAAAAAAGCGGACAATGGGAAAAAATGGGTAATGGTTCGGCTTGATTATCCTTTCAGGATTATATAGACGAGAACCTGCGCATTTCAGATCACCAAATAATCATTAACTAACGGTCACTAAACACCACACACCTCATCTATGGCGTTTAATTTTTTTTTAAATTTTAGTCATGTAACACATATTCACTTACGTAATGTACGTGTTACGTAATACATACTTTATTGTGTGTGCCTGTTGAATAAAAACATAAAAACAACTTATTGTCAACCTTTTAAATATGCTGAATAAGTAGTTATGTCGGATGAACGTTTTCCGTATTATTACGAATTTTGCGTTTAAACTTCAAGCGTACGTGGGATCGATTGGCGCAGCGATAGCACTTAATTTTCAATGACCGGCTGTCATCGGCAATATTAGCAGAATTAATGTCTGCAGATCCTATGCAGAATTCAACGTGTCGCAAACTGATTCTCATTCGTTATTCATTTTCACACGTTTATGTTTCGGTTATGAAGAGGTAGACCTCACGCGGTTAAAGCGCAGTTCTTCGAGCAACAGACTTTGCATACAAAACTGTTCAAATTAATCGAAAACAAGTTGTCGCAGGGAAAGCAAATTTGCATTCATTGAGTATATAACATAGTCGAAAATCCGATAATACGCTTTTACAACAGATCAATAACCAGCATCAATCAGTTTGTATCTAGTTATTATAAAGGGAAATTTACCTTTCTACACATAAAATCCTAGGCAAAAAATATTCACATAAATAGGTTTTACTTGATTATTTGCAAATGACTAGAATCAGCGTCCAATATGTTGCAGTTTTTTCTATATCAATCAATGTAGAGATTCTCATTTTCTGTTTAATAATTAGGCGTAATAATTCTTCAACTATGCTTAATTCTACTGCGGTTATATTTGATATATTGTTTACTAACTTGTAAATCGTACTTTTTATTGCAAACATAACTGTAATATTAATAAATTCAAATTCAATAAAGCAAGAAATAAGAACAATACTTAATTATTTCGTCAGAATTCATCATAGTCAATTTTGTAGAATAGTGAGCGATCAATGTTCAGGTCTGCCACTTACTTAATTAATTAATTAGTTAGTTAATTTTGCAATACGATTACTCACCAACTAAAGAACATGTTGTTTTATTATCTCCATTAACAGATACATTTCAAACAAATACTGTATAGAAAAATAGGAGTTTGTTAGCCTTTTAATGTATGCAGTACATATTTTATGAGATCCATTTTTTTGGGCAAGCTCTTTTAACATGACTGTCTAAGGCATTACTTTCAAATAAAAATAACGTCACTTGTGATTACATAATAATTTATGATGATATTATGATTGTTCTAAACGTCAGGCTCACATGAAGTTATTTTGACAGCAAATTCTAAAACGAAAACTTGTAATCGAACCCATGGCCGTGCGTTAAATGAAAAACCTTCAGTTTTAACTCGCCGAAATGTTAAAAATTCATTTAATTATTATTGTAAATTCACTTAATGTTATTGAATGAAAGGCTTTTCTATTATTTTATATTTTAATTCTAGGGACTAATAGCTGATACAAAATAAGCAATAATTAGACAAAGTATAAAATAATAGAAAGACTTTCCTGCCGAAAAATCAAATTTAGTTAATTAATCACTAATAATAAGTTATAAACAGACCTTTAATGAAATCTACTGCCATTTCCAGTCCGTAGGTGTCCTTGTCACAATCGTCGAGGATGTGGGCGCCGAGGGAAAAGTATCTCAACCTTTTGTTGATGATGTCTAGGGTGTAAAGCATGGTCTCGACGGCTTGGATGCCACCTTGCGGCATAACCGGTCCGCAAGTTATCGTATCTTCGCGTTCGTGCACCATCATGAGGCCGCCGAGGATGAGATCACCTTCGACGACGGCCTCCCTTTTTACCGGCCAGGGCGGCTCAGCGGCCCAGGGGGTCAGCAGTTCTTCGGCGAGGGACCTCCGAAGGCCTTTCATGTCGCCACCGGGCTCCCAGAGCTGCAGCCGTGGCGCAGGCCCGTCCACGTTCTCGTTGTGCTTGTGGTGGTGGTGCCTGTGGTGCCGTGTCACCCTGTGGTGCTTTCCTCGTATGTGCGATCCGAAGCACACGACGAAGAAGAACGCTAGATACAACCACACCTCCCTACACATCCTCACATCCCGTCAACCTCTCTCATTTTACCGCTGACTCATACTGCAAAGCAAATTGATATCCTTAGATTGTAAAACAAAAGATGTTCAAGAAACTCGGAGAACCCTTTTTCTTTTTTCTCAAAATTGTCATTATTGTAACTCTTCTAAATGTCTATATATAGGCAATCAACACATACAATTTTAGTTTTATTATGGAACGTGAGTCTTCTAAGTTATTGATGATAATTGAATAGATATTATATTCTGAATAAATTTTTCTAGGCTTTCTTTGGAGAAAATAACATATTCACTTTCTTCAGATGAAATTCACCATTATTTTAATCATTTCCCCTAAACAATTACCCATTTATTAATAGTCGTGATTATCACATGTTTGTTACTTAAAAATATGTTTATGCTACGCTTTCAATGAATGTAGAAAAGTAAAAAGTTTGTTCAGGTGACGAAAGTTAATATGTGTATACGGATAAAATTATCTCCCTCCATTTCATTAATTATATAAAATAATTAAATGTGTTTTTTAATCATTGCAATTGGAATAAAACGATCCTGTTTAAAGAGTAAGATATTCGACTTGTCGGTCTTGGGGCAGATCTTCTAGTGGATATTGTAATAATTATTTTTTCTGGTTTAAAGACTTATTTGATAATGATTAAATGTCTGGCAATGAAAAACTACACTAAAAACATGTATAAAAACAGATATAAATATAACAGTAGGTATAAAAAGCAAATCGTTTGGACCAACCCATCACCACCATTAAGATTGTAAATTTCTAAATTCACTTGTTTTCGGGGTCCGCTTGACCAATTAATATCTTTCAATTAATTAAGGGTTTTAGTTGAGATAAAAAAAGTTAGTGTAACGAGTGGGATTCGAAACCACAATCTTCAGCTAGAACGCTGGTGTACCACTTGAGCTATCGTGACCTCGAACTACTCTGACACTAACTTCCCATCTCAACCCCACCTGTTGAATTTTCCCTCCTTTTTGCCATGTTTCAAATTTCGTGTAATGAATTCGATTTTCGGCGACAATTGTTTTTGACAAAATGTTTTTATCACACCTAAAAATCTGAATTAATTTAAAGATATTAATTGGTCAAGCGGACCATGAAAACTAGTGAATTGAATAAGTAAAAATGAAGTATATCTTCACTAATGCTCTCCGTGGCCATTTCATTTGTCGCCGAGAATCAAATTGAATACAGGACATTTGAAAAATGGAAAAAAGGAGGGAAAATTCAAAAGGTGGGGTTGAGATGGGAAGTTGGTGTCCGAGTGGATCATGTTACGATAGGTCAAATGGTACAGCAGCAGCGTATTTAGTCGAAGATCGTGGGTTCGAATTCCGCTAGTGACACTGACTTTTTTATCTCAACTAAAAACCTTAATTAATTGAAATTGTAAATTATTCTTTAAAGTGTAACTATTATTTGGCATAATAACAATTGCGTGTTATCGAAATTGAGTGCTAAGTAAACTAAGTTTGCCGATAAATTACCTTTTTAAAAGTCGAAAGATAATGTTGTAGCTTGGCTATTGAATGGTAAACAATAATGGTAATTACAGTGTAATTTACCATTTAATTAAGCACGTTGTAACAAATTTGCGTTTTCACTAAAATTTTTATATATTTTTTATTCATCAATTCCCATTGTTACGTCTTCAAATATAAATATTAGAAATCTGAAATTAATAACCGATCCTACATAAATAAATTAAAAATTTGAAAACAACAAAAATGGTCCGATAAGGCCTTTTACGTGTTTATCTCTGCTTTATGTTATACAAAAAGACAGAATTCCGAGTGTGGGCTTTTTACATTTTCAATAATACTCTTCATATTTTTGTTTGTCAAAAAAATGAATTCGGTGTATTAACGCACCAAAATAACCGATATTGTGTAGGGTACTACAAAAATACTACGGTACTAAGGTAGGATACTACAAAAGGCCTTGTCTTTTCCTTATATAATACACGAATAATTTGTTATTAGCACAAATTACATAAACGTTTCGTTGAATTGTTACATATTGAATGTTGTACTGAAAATGTAGCTTCAAAACAAGTATATGTCAACTTTATATCAATTAATGAAAAATGTATTGTTAAGCGTGTCGCCTATCTCTTTCCAATTTCTTATAAAGGAAAGGCAATTGGTTTGTAACCCTGGATAGGTTTTTGTCAACCTAGTCCTCTAAAATCTTTTAGTATATAATAAAATCAACTTATGGATGGCCACCCGTCATTCTTCTTTGAATTAAAGCCGGGAACACACTTACCCGATGCTACGCCATGCGACTCTACCCGACGCCTTGCCACATTTTGGTATCACTATCACAATCGCAACGCATCTTTTATTCTTAATGCACTATTTTGAGCACAACCATCTAATAAATTGTTTGTTAAACTTAATTGTTTTAAATAAAGTTACTCCTAACCATCATAATTAAACAATGTTTATAAAAACTTATGAATTTTTGATCTCGTTTAATTTGATTTACATTAAAATAATATTCTGCAATTAATATAAAGACAAAATTACATGTACTTAGTTTGAAATAAACTACAAAAAATAGGAGTGTCCTGTTCTGATGTTACCCGACTAAAATGGTGTAATTTTACGAGCAAAACTATGAAATAAATTGTTAATTAAATTTTATGAGCAAAACCGTGTAATAAATTGTTCAAATTTTAGTAAATGTACCGCCGAAGCGAGTACAATAAATTGTTAGTTAAATTCATAATATCAAAAAATCGTATTCCGGTGTTTTGATTAATTTTCTACCAAACCAGTAAAATTAATTTTTTAAATAAAAACTAATTAATTTTTAATCACAGTTAATTTGATTTATATTAAAATAAGTATGTTGTAATTAATATAACGACAATAATACATGTAGTTTGAATAAAAATAAGAATGTCCGGCTCTTTTTCTTCGACTGTACTCGATGCGATCCAACGAAAATCTGGACAGTGGGGATCGCAGAGCGTCGGGTAGGTTAGCGTGGCATAGCATTGGGGAGATGTGCACGGCGGTAATGCAACCTTATGGTAAATCGGAGTTTGGATTTGCGTCGGGTAGCATCGGGTAGCGTCGCAGGACGTAGCATCGGGTAAGTGTGTTCCTGGCTTAATTCATTTCCTTTTACAATGCCTTGGAACCCCATCAGAAAAACAAGATTAGGTTTCTTAAGGGATATGAAAAACCTTTCGGTTAATGTTAAGGCAAATTTATATACTTAATATGTATTCACGGTTACAAACTGATCGTTGATCTACTGGGAGAATGTCTTTAAATTTTTATCAGGGTAACATAAAACAAAGTAAATAATGTTTGAAGGGGTGACACTGTATTGATTATATGCACAATATATTCTTTCATTCTACACATTCTCGTTTATTACGGTTGAATGACGAGGGGAGGCTACGATTTTAATAAACTTTTTTTGTGATGCCGGAAAATATTAGACACATTTCTAGGTTCTTGCCGATGGGACCTAGGGTCCAAGAAAAAACTCTTTTAATTTGGTTTAATTATTTATACATTACAAACTTTACGATTCGGCAATATATATTACAAAACAAGAAAGAAGTTCCTCATAGTTTCAAACCGTCTAAGGGCTATTTTAAGTGGTTTACATTGTTTCTAACTTTTTGCGCGTAATTCACGGTTATTATATATCATTCGATTTTTAAAAAAATGTGCACGATTGTGTTCAATAAGATTAAATAAGTAAAAAAATTCAAAAACATAAAGCTGTAGGTTAGTAGTAAATTAGGTCAAAAGTATGTTTTTCTAAATAATACGGATTCTTTTTAAGTGCTCTTTAAAGCCGATAAGTACGATTTTATAGGACAAAAAATAGCCATTTTCTGGTGAATATTATCAACTTTGTTTACCCAAAAAATATTTTTTCCTACTTTCTTCATACCCAAATACCTTCTTTGGAATGACATTTTTTATAACAATGTTTGTGAGTCTGGAGGATGACAGATTTAGACAAGTTTGTAAATGCTTTAAAATTAATTTAATGTAAAAAATAAATACAAATAAATAAGTAGATTAAAAAAACGGCATTAATGTAAATATAAAAAGAAATCTACTATGTTCCTGAGTAGTTTTAGACATTTTTCAAACAAAAAAAAGTCTTATTAAAAAAAGTTGATTCAATAACATTATTGAACATTTGGGCCTCGTACCATAGCACCGAACTAAGTATGGAATTGAAGATTTTCAATTGGCACATGGTATTTCATTATGTAATATAATTTTTTTTTTTTTAAACAGAAACGCCAAATTTAGTTGTTTATATTTTCTCCTTGAAATGTTGTTCTATTGTTAAGCTAGGCGATAGTGTAATTTCCGAATATTTATAATGATTATTTGGAGATCGTGAGATGCGTTCTGGAGTGACATAGGTTCTGGAAAAACATTTTCTTTATCATGCCAACGTTTCGATCTTTATTGAGTTCATCTTGAGGGCCTGGGATTTATAAACATCGTTTAAATTATACCAATACTTGAAAAAATAAATGTCTAGGATTTATAAATTAATTCTTTATTCAAATAATAATCATTTCCTAACGGTCACTAAACACCACATAAATATTTATAATCTTCACATATGATCATCACAATAATTCTCTAATGAATTGATAAAATAGGGAATTTATGCTGAATTCAATTTGTAAAAAAAAATTATTTTCAAGATAGTTTGTTCGTGATAGTAAATAAGTGCAGGTGATGTAGATTGGTGATTGGCAGCAGTACCATTGCACGTCGAAAAGACAACTTGTAAACCAGGTCAAGGGGAAAAAACCCAGGCTGTTCTTATAAAGCCAAAATAATACGTGAGCATTGTGCCAAAATCTCTTGGTATGCCAAACAAGCCCGGATCACGGCTCGGCCCATAGAAATGACGGAAAGATTTCCTTACGGTTCATCAGAATTTCCATCGGCGACAATTGCGCCGCCGTAGCTTCGTTTAGGGACGACTTGTTCTCCAAAACATTATTATAAATTCGCAAAGGAAAA